CGCCGCTGCCGGAGCCGCCGCCGCTGCCCCGCCCCTCCTCCCCGCCGACCAATCGAGAGACGGGAGAACGTCACGCTTAGCATAACCCCGCCCCTACAGCGCTGCGTGGCCCCGCCCCTTCTCCGGCAGCCAATGGCGACATGCAGTTGCCATCACGCTGTCCGGAAACGAGTGCTACCATAGAGAGGTAGAGAGGGAAAGGCCACTTCGCGGCCGCCCGCGCCGCTGCTCTCTATGGCAAGGCCGCCGCGGTACCCTGCCTGCCCGGGGCTCCCCGCATCGGCCCCATCCCTGCGGCTGCTAATTGCGTGCGCCCCTTTATTGCCAAGAGTGATTAACTGCGGAGGTCTCCCGGGGGGAACTGAAGCTCAGACTGATTTTAACCATCCCCCTGTGCAGCCATCTGCCTCTCGCCAGGAGAAACCTACAGCATCCCATCACCAAAGGATAAAACATTAATGCCAGAGGCAGCAGACAAATGCTGCTGCCGGGCTCCCGCCCCAGCCTACCCTGCGGTCCCTAGTTTATTTTCACCTTAATTCCCGTCACTCGGCTCATTTCAAATGCAACTACTCACACCTCCCATGCAGAAGCACCCCATCTTGCTTCACGCCCCTGTGCAATACACCAGGAAGGAAAATCATTCCAGCACACCCAGGAGGTGTTTAAGGGTTGTACAGATGCCAAAGCATGCAGGCAAGCACTAACGGGGCTTTTTAAAAGCAATTAAGACCAAGAGGAGTTTACGACTAGAAGCTGATTCTAATAAGGGTCATAAAACCCACACACTTTCTCTCATGGTCTTGAAAATTGGTTCATGGCTTTCTGCAAAGGCATGCTGAGAACGGCAGCTGGCCGTATGCCTCCATCTGCACCCACTCCTCCAGGGTGTTTGTGGCGAGGACCAGGATTTCCGATGGCTTTAATGCCTGTGCTCTCAGTCCCCAGCCTTAGCGGAACATGGCCATTGTCATGCCATTGCCCAGAGAGGCGAGGCTGGAGGGTCAGTTCCAAATATCAGCATTGATACCATCCACAAAAAGAGTTCAGTTTAAATTTGGGGCATCACTCGAGGCAGAAATTTGCGGGGTTCTGAGCACAGGTTGGGAATCTCCCTTTTCCCCACTAACCTCTACTGTATCTGCCCCTTCTGACAGGAAATAATCCCCATTTCCCAAATCACTTGCCCTCCCCTGCTGGCTGACTGACCTGTGAATACCCGCCTTTAGATGGCACTGCATTAAACAATATCCTTAAAATCCAGCTGTGGAAAGGCCTGTTCCTCCCACCAATGTTTAGAAACATTTTGGGACTGATCTCTTTGCAACAGTGAAGGAGAAAGAGCATTTTGTACCCACCTTGCTCCTTCCAAGTGAGGACACGGGAGGCTGAGATTACCCCGTCTGAAACAAAAGCACCACTAATGTGTGCTCAACCTGCCTTGCTGGAGCCAGAAGCCCCATTAATTTGGCATAATTGGCATAGTTTAGCTCTGATGCTTAATTGAGAAACTTATCATGGGGGCAGGAGAGCAGCTCTGGGGAAGGTCTCTGCCATCCCTGAGCTCCGGGTGATCCTGGGAGCGCTTGGGCTGTTTGGTCCAGCCACCCTCCCCCAACTATCCCCACCACCCATGGACCTGGTGTAACCCATGCTCAAAGGGCGAGAATTTGCCCTTTGGATGTTTCACAATGTCCTGGATCGATAAACCCGCATGGGGCCAGTTAGAGGTGACACGACGGTGCCACCAGCCCAGGGCATCAGCATCCAGTGGGCCCAGGATAAATCAGTAATACCTTATTTTTGGTACCAGAGAGGTCACACTGGACAGATCCAAGATCAGCTTCCCCTGCCCCCAAGTCTGGACCTGCTACACAGGGACACACCATGGCCACCCCGGCTCCAACTCCATGTCACAGTGGCCACACGGGGACACTTCTCCAGTGGATCTAAGGATGTCCCCACACTTGGTGAAGGAGAATGGGATACGTGATGTGCACAGGAGGGCAAACACAAGGGGCTGCCCGCTGCAGCCCTCATCCTGCCACAGGCCAGGACCAGGGCAGAGCATCCCTGTGCCTTGTGACACATTTGCAATATGGAGCCCTATAAATCCCTGTTGTGGGGCTGGGGAGGTCCAGCCCAGGTGGAGGGACAGTACGAATCAGGGAGTGAAACCCCAGGCTCAGAGCAAAGCCCTGCAAAGCCCAGGATCAGCACTGGCTCCCACACTGGTCCCAGCTGGGCCGGTTGCCTTTTCTGTTGCCAGCTGCCCACCGTGATGCTGGGCTGGACTTTGTCATTGGTGTTGCAGGACAGCAGAGTGCCCCAAGAAAGCCAGGGACGGCATTACCGGAGGGGGTTGGAACCAGCCACGTGAGCATCCCGCCTACTGGCAGCAGCTCCGTGGGCTGAGTTCATCCTCCCAAAACAGGGAAAGTGTCCCAAGCTCTGGAGACCTGCCTGCCTCCAGCAGGGGATTCTCCTGCTAAACTCTTGCAATAGCAGCAATCGGGTCTGGGGTCACCTTCAGCACCCGAATACAGATACCCCACTTGGGATGAGGGTCTTTCCCTCACCCCCGCCTCAGGCACTGCGGGATACCAGTGTGACTTGCTCCAGCAATAAAACTCAGTAATAAAGAAGGTCCACTTCAACATGTTAAGGCTGAATTTGCCAAATCATTGTTCCTAGAAGGGACTGATTAACCCCAAAGTCAGGCAAAGCGCAGGCAGCAGTGACACAGCCCCCTCCCCAACGATCCACCCCTCCCTGAGCCCCCGACAACACATGTGCAGCCCCATCCTACAGATCCCGGCAGCTCTCAGCCGGGAACTGACTCCGGATGCCCCGGGGACAGTGCCACATCCCCAGCCGCATTCCCCAGGTCCTGCTGCAGGGAGGCCCCAGCCATCGGACTGGGATTTCCAGCAGAGGGATTTCCTCTTCCCAAGCGTGAAAGCAGAGTGGATAAAACTAAGCCCTGGCTGGGAATAACCAGGGGGGACCCCTTTTTCCATCCCTGGCATTGCACCACCTGGCTCTTGTCCCGCAGTGGCTCTGTGCATCGTTATCCAGCCAAAAGCAAGACATCAGGGAGAGATGTTTCCTACACGATGGCTTTAGGGAGGCACGTGTCTGTGTAGCCCCGAAACAGCCCCCCCAGCCCTGGGACCCTGTCCTCACTGGATGCCCACCAGCTCCGTTATGGGGGGAGCGTGGACCATCAGCTCCTCGTATCTCCGCAGAAAGAGCCGGAGCCTGGAGGCGTAGGTGTCCTCGTTGTACGGCAGCTTCTTCTGCTTCAGGTACTGGGAGACGATGGGTTTGATCTGCAAAGGCAAAGGCAGTCACCTCTGTGATGGATGTCCCAGCATTTGTACAAGGTTCCCAGCCTGAAGCATCACCGAGCTCCCCGCAAGGTGTCCAGAAAATCCATCCCACATGCCCAAAAGGGGACTGGAGATGCCAGCACCAGCTATAGCACCTTTGCTGTGAAAATTAAGAGGAATTTGGTTTCCGATTGCAGTAACATGGGGAGTTGACCCTGGCAAAATGCCTTTGCAGGGCTCCAGACTAGGAGAGGTGCCCTAACGAGGCTTTAATGAGGGCCAGCCACGCATGCTCATCACTTCACCCGTAGTTATCCCCATGTGCCCATACAGCCGGCTCAGCGACGACGCTGGGAGGCTGCCACCAGCTTAATTACCCTGTCCCTGCAACACCCTTTTGTGGAAGCAGGTCCTACCGCTCCATGAGCTCGAGCAAAGGGCACGACCTGAAACCCACTGGTGCTCCTGCTCTCTCTATTACTATTACTTAATTTTCCCCCCGGCTTCAGACTGAAAATAAGGGCAAGTCATTAAACGAGCGGAGATCCTGCGCTGAAGGGCAGCGCATGGACCTGTCTTGGAATCCCCTCGAGCTGGCGCAGCACTTGGATCCCATGTTTTGAACACAGCCCACACCTCAGAGCAACAAGTAAGGGCAAGACCAAAATTATAGGGAGATTTGCCTGGACGACAGCTGAAATGAATGCCAGACTGCGTGGCACTGGAAATGCTTTTCCAAGGGAAGACTCAGGAGGATCCCAGGCTGCTGGGAGGCTGCTGCAGGCTGGAATCTGGACCGGGAAAGGAGCAGGGAATGGAAATGGGGGAGAAATGGGAGTGGGGATGGAGAGAGGTGGATTAGGGGCTGTTGCAAAGCAACGAGAGGTCTTGGGCATGGGGGGAGCAGTGCAGAGAAGAGAGTGCTTGCAGCATCATGGTGGGAAGATGGATGGTCTTGTCCCCATGTCACATCCCAACACACTTGTCCGCGCCATGGGGCTGTCTCACCTTCAGGCACATGTTGTCGGAGAGGCTGGGGAAGAGGTGATGCTCCACGTGGCAGCTGATGAGCGAGTGGCCAAAGGACCAGTCGAGCAGGGCATTGCGGGGCAGGTTGAGGACACCCAGGCTCATGAGGTGGATCCGCTTGGGTTTCCGATCAGCCGCAAACATGGGGAGACCGATGTGCTGCGGGAGAGGGAGGTGGGAACCCCACAGCACCTGCCAACCTTCCCCAGCCCCTTCCCAGAAGAGCAGCCCATGGCTTTGGCCACACAAGGGCATGAAGGTATCAGCCTGTCTGAACTACATTTTGGGGTTTGGCTGCCAAACCCAGAGCTGGCTTTGTCCCTAAAGCCGCTTCATCCTGTGCTCTTCTGTCCACAGAGCCACTGAGGAGCACCTGGGCTCTGCCCCCCAACCCACCCACACTTTGTGCCACCGGCCTCTCCCCACCCCAGGACCTGCCATACCAACTGCACCTACACCTGCAAACACCCCAACCCTCCAGTCCTGCAAGGCACCTCAGAGGACATCACCCTCCAGCCCTTCACACCCATTTGCCCTGATGGTCTCCCAGGGCCACCACTGTCCATTCCAGCACCACCAGCCTGACCTCCCCGTGACGACATCGGCACCGGGGAGATGGCAACCGAGGCCGCTTGCCTTAAGCTGTCACAAGCTCCAGCCAGCAGCGCCAGGGGTATGTCACCAGTGCTGGGTGGTGGCTGGCTTATCTCCAGCACCATTGGGACATCTTGGAGCTTCAGGTCTCTACCTGGAATATGTTGACGTGGATGTAGGGATGGGCCAGGAGGGAGCGGGTGAGCAGCATACAGAGCAGGGCAGACCGCGGCGACTGGAAGCCTGAGACATGGAGCAGCAGCCAGTAATGGCAGTAAAGACCCAGAAACATGCAGCAGAGGGTCCGGAGAGCTGCTTTCCACTCCACGTTCCTCAACAAATCTGTGCGAGGAAGAAGAGGCAGCACGTGGGCAAAGTGCTGATGCTTCCCCACCACTGCTGCTCCAGCAGCCAGGCTGCCCAGCACCCTGATAAACCTACAGCCCATCCCATTCCGTCTATTCTTCATCTCCCTTTCCCCACCCTCCAGGTTGGCCCAAACTCCCTAGCCCCACTGACTTGCTGGTTTTTGGGTCTGGGGCCTGGGGCCCCCCCTAAGGCAGGACCCTGCAGGCTGCAGCCCCAGCAGAGGGTCCAGATGTGCATCACCACACAGGGATTTGGCTGCATCTTCCTGTCATACAACTTGCCAAGTCATCATGTGTGTTTTTGACATTGCCCAGCGCTATGTGTTCAGCCCTATGGGCCGGGCTTCCTCAGCCTCTTACTATTTTCTGGGCTCTTCTACCTGATTGTTTCCTGGCACCGTTATTTCACCCAAGCTGCGACTTTGTCTGTCCAAACTCATTGTGTCCCGACACCCAGAGACCTCCATACATCCACCCCATAGTCAGGAAACACTCCGACGAGCCACAAGCCTATGCGCAACACTGGACCCTGCTACGGCCAAGGGTCTGAATTACAGGAGGGCAAATTTGGGGTGCTTCAGGCTCATGACAGCTTTTGCCAGAGCTTTCAGCTCTTGACCCAACATAGGAAAATGTGAAGTGTTTTCTGAGCACTGGCAGAAAGGAGAGATCATAGAATCATAGAATGGTTTAGGTTGGAAAGGACCTTGAAGATCTTCGAGTTCCAACCCCTTTGCCATGGGCAGGGACACCTCCCACTAGACCAGGTTGTCCAAGGCCACATCCAGCCTGGCCTTGAACACCTCCAGGGATGGGGCCTCAACAACTTCTCTGGGCAACCTGTGCCAGTGCCTGTTCCAGATGCAGCAGATGCCTTCCCTGGAGCAGATGCAGCATCACCTGCCTTCGCTGCAGCCCTATGTCATGCCATGGGCTGGTGTGGTTAATGTGATGTCTCCAAAGCAGGACCCTTTGGTGAGGTGAGACCCAGACAGTGACAAGCTATAGTGAGCATATATATATATATACCCAACACCCCATCCCAAGGTGGTTGGGACACGTACCAAGAGCAACCAGAGGGGTTATGATGGGCACCGCAAGAGG